GTTCACATATCACTGTATGATCTGTCATTGCAAGCAGATTATAGGGGAGAATTTTCTAACCTCACAATCATAATGGTATCTGGTGTTAGATATCATGAAGTCGAAATAACTCTGCAATTTGTCTAATGATTCATGTACGCTGACATTATTCAATCTTAAGCATAGCTAGTACATTATACGTTTGCCCCATTTTTGTCCAAGTACAAATATAAATTTGTCCTAATGAGCCAAACATGCAGCCTTTGCTATATGCTGGCCGTACATGTAACTTTTTTCAACTTGTTCATCTATGACCTTCCAGGGACATTATATACATTGACCTTGGAGCTTCAAACTTCTAAAACTAGTAAAAACCATGACTGTGCCAATAATGGATGACACGTTTGATAGCGTGATCCGGTGTTCTAGCTAGCGCCCGTCTTTCCGTCATCTGACGCTCTTGACGGAAAAATGCCAAATCCGTCATCTTTGACGCACAAAAATTGGTCCTGAAAGACTGAATAAATGTTGAATAATTAAGACCTTCGAATTCATTGTACATTTCTGCACATAAACGTATACATGTATTGATGTAAACTTCCCGAGGTACGAGTATACTCTATAGTATACTCTATTCGACTTCCTCTCGTTTCCTAGTAATAGAGGAAATATAGGAGACTGTTAAAGTTGGCTTGTCGAAGGCATGATCTCATCATATGATCCGCGGTTAAAACCTAATGTCCCAGCCGTGAGACCCTGTTAGCTGTACACCACCCCCTCTACTCTTTAAGCAGAGGTTATGGTTTTGGCTTACTGTATTTTTGGCGTGTTTTTAGGTTTTCTTCCTTCGGGGTTTCTTTTTTTGCACTGGAATGTTTTTGGGACTGAAATTCCAGTGCTAAAAAAAAGAAACCCCGATAAAAAGTCTGCTTGGAGAGTACGCCGAACGTTGTCGGTCAGTCTTTTCAGGCGTGCTGACAGTAGATTGATCCATGAAGCGGAACTGACGTTGCACACTCACCTGCGACCTTCTCATTTCCGCCCAGGGTACGCCTGACGTGGCGCGAATGTGCCGCTAAGTTTACACTATGCTCCATTTCCCGCCATGCTTTGCTAATTGATCCGATAACACTACAGATAAATCACGATGTTATCACGGTTCTATCACACAGTATAAGACATAATCTGAGGAGAAAACATGAGGGCAGGTGGAGGTAGTCCCCACGCTTTGTGTGCGACTGGTCTACATTCGATGGTACGCCAGTGAAGCGAAACCAGATCCGTATGTCACTATGTGCTAGGATTAGGAAAGCATGGCTTTGCACGCTCTCTTGTTAGTATACAGTCAAACCTGCCTATAGTGGTCACTCAAGGGACTGGCCAAATTTGACCACTATGGCCAGGTGACCACTATAGAGAAACAGCCGGTTAGTTGACCCCCCCCCCCCCAAAAAAAAGGGACACATGCTTTGAGTACCAACAGTGATGTCTTTATTCTGAAACATATGAATACATACATTTGCAAAGGTAAACCCCTTTTATATGTACATGTCTTAGTTCAATAATTTGTTGTTCTTTTGCTTTAGTTGCACTTTATTTTGTACTTGCTTAAAAAAAAAAGAAATACAGAAATATAATTTGCATGGAAACATTAACTTGACATCAAAGATACATTCACTCAACATATTCAGTTCATCTATTCCGGGACAATGAAACCATTCACATTAAAACAAAATCACTGGTTGTCATTTACTGTTCTTGTGTACATACTAGTACTACATGTGGCTAAAGAAAAGAAAGCAAATCAAGCAACAAACTTTCAACTCCAAACAAATTTCTATCGACTGCAAAATCATTTAATCTAAGCTCAGCTTTCGACGATTTCTCCACACTCTCCCTGCCAGTCCGATCACTTCCACCTTTTGGAATAAGTTCGGCGTCTGTCTCTCCGCGTTTGCCATCGTTTCTCCGCAATCGCCACGTTACTAGTACTAGTTGTTGTTGTTAGTCGAAAAGTGGAAGAGAACGACATCGCCATGTTTTTGTTCTTTGGTGAACACTTGCTTCGCGCGACCGACATACGCCACAGCGAATTCCAACCACGTAAATAAGTTATTTTGTACCAAGATGCTGTCTATTTAGTTAACAGCAAAATAATTGTTCGTCAGTTGCCAGTTACTTTCCGTTTTTGGTCGTTTTTGAACATGAAAACGTAGCGAAAACTCTCCTTTGTTTACGGCTTGGGTTTCTCCCCGCGTGGGTTGTCTGCCTTTACCATTATGCCAATGTGGTAGTCAACAGAAAATTTTCTCCTTTCAGACTTATATCTTTTCCAAAATATCCACTACAGTTTTAAATTTACATCTAAAATTACTTGTAGTAATGTATTTGAAATGTTTTCATAATGTAATTACGTCATTTGACGCTAATGAAGTTAAATAAAACTCGGTGTATCTACCTCCATAACAGTGGAGTCTTCCGATGACCCCAATTGACCTCCCTCTGCAGCGAACATGCGCCATCTTGGAAAAATACGAAACGCATTTTTCGAGCCAAATTTCTTGAATTATGCCCATGAAAAACGGAAGCTATGCACATATCTACGCATTTCAAGGAATCGAGAAACCAAATATGGATATTCTTAATTTTTTTTTGAAAGATAATTGCCGTAATCTTCGCCGAGCGGCCGAGTCCATTGAAAGCTCCATGCGGCACGCACGGCACTGGTGTTGGGGAAAACGCAGATATCAAAGACACCCGCGACCGCAGAAAATTCGTGTCAAAAGCCAGTTTTCCTTTATTTCATACACATATGGAGTCTAATTTTCAGTTCACATTTTAGTGATGTAGCGATCGGAAAATTATCACAAGGCTCATAACGGTCGTAGCCCGAGGTGGGATAGTGGTGTTACGGCCGTGGTGCTTAGCGGGTTACGGCCAGCCGCGCCCGCTATCGGCGGTGTTGACATGCCGGCGGGACCGGAATGGGGTGACCGCTGACCGCGTTGAACAGTGACCGCTATAGACACGATTCTTAATGCTTACGTCAATGGGAAAAATTCAAGGGACCGGCAAAAACTGACCGCTATGGCCGAGTGACCACTATACAAAGGTGACCGCTAGTACAGGTTTGACTGTACATGTTTATTTGCATGCACCGTGGAACGGTTGTTTTCAATTTTGAAAATACCTGTTTTCGATCAGCCGTGGTTTCTGTGCTTCAGAATACTGGATACGAAATCTGCTTAATTCGTCCGCATATAAATAATACAGAGGGGGAACAGTATGTTATAGGTTTTTTAAAACCTCCTTGGTATAGCCAAGTCGACCCCCACCATACATGCACATACACTGGAGTTCTTCTATCACAAATGCGACAAAAATGATCTCACGGAGATTTTAGAAATCCAAACAAACTTCTGTTGACCCAACACATGAAAACAGTCCGTACGAAGGCCGTAAGGCGACATATGGTGATGGACATATTTGCGCTAAACCGTCCGCTGTCCGGGACGGTCTATTCAAGAGGGTGTCATCCCTGTCCGTGCTCTTCTTCATCCTTCTGCCATCCTCACATATCTTCACACCTTTACATCATTTACCTCCTGCGTAGGACGGCACAGGGGTGGTCATAAGGGTATAGACGTAGTACTAAACACGATACTGATTACCATAGCGACAGCCATCTTGAAATCGTTGTCCTAAATATCATTGTTCGGGTGGTATAAAGAAAATTGAATACGTATTTCACACTGTTTTTGAAGGACTCCAGACTTAAGTGATTTTAAGTACCAATATGACGAGGTCGCAGGGTTAAGTAGTTCCGAGGACAAAGAGGAAATGGTCCGTGAATAATCAGTTGTACAAATTTGTGTTCTGGTGACAGAGAGGATACCCTGGGTACGAGCCTGACTGGGGAATAGGTGATGGTGCGCATCCGCTGGTTTCACTCACAAGCGCACCGTAGAAATACGATAAGCATTGTGGATAAAGGTATTTTTGCATTAAAGCATCAAGTTGTTCCTCGTTGATGTCCGTTTTATCTGGCGCACTACGTATACTAGTATATGAAGCCAACTCGAATATCGTTCAGGAGATATTATAAGTGCAGTTATATAAGTCATTAAGTGACCCTTCCTTCAAATCCTTATCATAAAGAACAGTCCTAACGTCTTCCACGATTCACGAAATTTGTACGATTCAATAAGTTCTCCAATGAGTTCAATGACTTGGTGAGCCCAATTACTAGTACGAGCTAGCGATGCGATAGAAACATGACACATAGCAAGGACTTTATATAGGACCCTTGAACACAGGGTTGGGTTCAAGAGTTCATTGCGTAATGGGGACGGTGTGCCTACCGTCACGTATACTTGTATAAACCAGCCTCGTGTCGTTCAGCACACAAGTCAGACCTACGAAATTTATTAGATTAGCCCACGTGAAAAAATACTCCTTGTGTTTCCAAGAAGGTGGTCGGTCTTTCAGATAAGCTTATCGTGAGTCCTTGGCAGGTAAGCGGAAGTGATGTAAATGTAATATCCGCGTCTTATCGCGAGTGTGTACGGTTTCCAAGTTTCCCTGTACAGCGTACTCAGCAGATCAGTGATCGGGTTAGGTGTTATCAAGAAGGTTTAAAAGGGCCTCCTTGGTGCTATGTTGTATTTACCCTGACGCTTGTTTGCTATAGACATTAACCCCCTTGTCATTAGCAATGGATGTATATATAGAACGTAGATTTAATTTCACATTATCGTTCAAATATAAACCTACAGTTTTCATCAGTTCCATGTGTCTCAAGTAAAGGTCAGTAAGTTACATGTGTGTACACAGGCCGATCTGGGAACAGCTCCAAATCCGTGGCTGAGTACCAATGACGTCACGACTAAAGCAAGGCACTGGCTGGGACCGGCCTTGATGACGTCATCTTTCGCTCCCAGCAGCCCCCTGGATGATACTGAGAATCCGCAAACTTAAAGTAAACTTCCGGGCAACTTCTCGTCGCCGGGGCTTCCCCCTCAGCTGTATATAAGAGGCAGAAACAACGAGTAGAGCTTCACTATCAGTCCACAGAAGTTGGAAGCGTATACCGGGAAGCTGAAAATAGGTGAGTTCCTTCAGTTCCTTTCAGTTTTCAGAGATTCCAGAGATTCCATCGTTTTCAGAGATACCAGCGAACGCAAGAATAATCGCTTGGTACTAGAAGTGATAACTTTCTCTCTCTCTTGCCTTACACAGTTAAAAGACTCAATCATCAGCCATGGCAATGAAACTGGTGGGCATCTTCGTCCTGTCGGCATTTGCAGTCTTCATTATGACGGAAGCCCGTAAGTGGACATTTTGGCGACTATCTTTTCTGTTACTCTGGTAGCTGGGAATTACTTCAAGTACCTTTTGTACTTATGTTCTTGGCCAACGTTACGACTTTCTCCCGACGTTATGCTAATAGATTAGTACTTCTGGTCCGAAAGCGAAGATACAATTTCTTCCGAAATATCATGTCAAATGAACATGTAAAATTTGACGAAAACTCCAGAGCACTCTTAGGACAAAGTTCTTATAAACGCTGGCAGTATTTCGCTCATCATCATTCTTGTATATCTTTCATGTAGGTTCTATGGGCGGTTTGGGGACCGGACCATCAGGCCTGGTAGGGCCGGGAGCAGGGTTCTCTCTCTCCGACCTCCTGCAGAACGAAGACGTCGCCAGCAGTTTCCTCGGAGGAGGAGGCGTGGCCAAAGCGGATCCGGAGCAGCTAGAACTGCCGTTCCTCTCAGTCGCGGCCGCCCCGGAACAACTGGAGCTGTTCAGCGCAAACCGGGACTTTCTACGCAGCGCAGCAGGACCTAAGATATTCGACGGGAAGAAGTAAAGATTTCAGACAGTGAACTTTGTAAGATATTATGACGGAACAGCGCATGAACAATACCATGTTCAGAACGCCGTGTTCCTGTTAATAGCCATTCGATTTGTGCATTATAATGTACTTGATTTGTGGAAAAGTTTTGCCAACTACGCACATATAAGTCCAGAAAAAAAAAACGTTTATTTCTTACTGTACGTGTACTGCTGCAGTCAAGTGCAATCATGCCGTCAGTGAAAATCATAATGAATATGTGATAATGATATCAATGTGGCAGTTTCTATGATGATTTTGTTGTAAATAAATATCAAAATGCGATATTCTGAGGTTACGTTCTGTGTTCTTAAAGGATAAGACTATACTAATAGGCACAAACCGTTTATGGCTGGCGTACTTCGAAAGCTTCAATGCGGGAGGTCTGCGTACATGTGAAGTAAATAGAGGAAATAATTCACCAGGAGAATGATCTGTCATCTTTTATACGTCACGGTCATCAATGCTTACAAAGTTTGGCAAGAAAAGCCATTGTGGTGTTACAATTCAAGTGAGCGTTATCGGAAGTGAACATAATGCTAATGAAAAGACGGAAACATTCCTATTGAATAAAGGAGTGAAAGAAAAGGAAGTAGGAAACATAGCATGGCGAGGATCCCCACCCTTCTCGGCACTTCTACCTAACATGTGCGGTGTTTCCCAGGCTGAACCTACCGCAGCGGCGGCGTGCCCGGCATAACAGGTGTCCATTCAGCGTCCCAAACCAAGACGAATTTCTATTGAAAAATACCTCGCGCGTTCCTCTATTCAGCCGCAGTATTCTAGCCAGCTATCGCATCGTTTATTTGTTGGAGTGGAAACAATTTTGCAGTAGTAGGTTGTCTATCATCTGTGGTGCATTTGTTTTGTTGAATGTCGCCGGCCCTCCACTCCCTACACCAGTACCATATGTCCAGGTATACCATAGGTATAGTCATAGGGCTATATCATCAGTACAATGTATATGATTGTGCCATTTGTGGTTGTACTTTTGTCTGGGTGGCAACGACGGTCTAGATTATGTAGATGACATCCAGCCTGTAGCAGGTCAGATGGAAATGTGGGTAAACATCTTGACTTTTTGAAGAAGAAATTGATCTGTGTATCAATGTCTTCTGAACAAGGTGATAACGAGGTTATTGTTTTAGTCTGACGGAAAGAAAGACCCCGTTAAGTGCCCATTCAAAATCAAAACCAATATTGTATTACCAAAAAGAACACTTTTCCTAAGGAGTTGCTTTTTCATGCTGAAAATTGAAGGAACTTCTGATGGTTTTAATACCACCCTCGAAGAAAAACGTCACTGTTTGGTTGTTCTTTGTGAGCGGAAACACGATGCACCATCATGAAATAAATTAGAAAACAAGTGCTTCAAATGTGATCTAGTACTGGTCGTGGCAAAACTTTTGAAACATTATTACTAGTATCTAAATATCACACAACTGGGTGAATTTGTGCTAATTTTGCGTTTGGGATTGTCCAAAACTTTTATACTCCAGTACACTGGGAAGTTTTGCTTCTTCAGTTCTATATTAGTGGTCATCGCTAAACATATCATTTGCACGTAGGTAAGCTGAACAAATATCTCTGTCACTAAGTGGTACGATCTTCTTGCGCTCATCAATCAGATCAAAAGACAGAAATAGTAAAAACCACTGTTATAAGAAGGATTTAGAACTCGGCGGTGCGATAGATATTTCTTAATTCTAAGTGCAGAAATTGATCTGTATATCAATGTCTTCTGAAGAGGGTGATAATAGTTATTGTTTTACTGTTTGACCAAAAAAAGAACTCGTTAAATCTTCATTCAAAAGCAAAACTGAAAAAGGGCATTTTTACCTCTTGAGGCAGAAGGAGGAGAACGTCTGTGTCAATCCTGGTTTATTATGCAGTCTCTTCAATCCTCATACTCTTGAAATAGGATGTTCTAATGACATGCGATAACGAGATATTGTCTTTTTCAAAAATGTAATCAAAACTTTTGCTTAAATATTCATAAAGTTCTGTTTGCTTTAACCCGGGTGGCCTCTAAATGATTTCTCAACCATCTTCAAAGTGCTATCTTGTATTGTGCTGACAACCCACTCAGATTTATTATCTTATGCATTGAGCGTGAGTGAAAGAACAGAATGAAACTTTTGCTTTTAGAGGGCCTATGGAATATGGGCCAAGTATTTCATCAGGGTTTCTATGGGACTTTATGTTACAGATAAAATGAGCTGTCAATACCAATGAGGTTATAAACTCCTTGCCTCATTGAAATGAAATCCCGTTACATGTTAGTACATATATATCATATTCATAATTAGTTCCGCTACAATGGGTGAATAGTGGACGTATGAAGCAATATTAAACAGCCGCGATAGCTCAGTTGGGAGAGCGTTAGACTGAAGATCTAAAGGTCCCTGGTTCAATCCCGGGTCGTGGCAGTTTTTTTAAACGTCCACCATGCTATCAGACTTTTTCAGTTCTATATTAGTGGGCTTCGCTAACATATCATTTGCACGTAGGTAAGCTGAACAAATATCTCTGTCACGAAGTGGTGCGATCTTCTTAATGAAGCGCGCTCATCATGCAATCATATCAAGAGACAGATATAGTAAAAACCACTGTTACAAGAGGGATTTAGAACTCGGCGGTGCGTTAGATATTTCTTGGCAAAGTTAATTACAAGCGCAGAAATTGATCTGTATATCAATGTCGTCTGAAGAGGGTGATAATAGGGTTATTGTTTTACTGTTTGACCGAAAAAAAAGAACTCGTTAAATCTCCATTCTAAAGCAAAACCGATGTTCTTTCCAAGAAAGGACGCTTGAAACTCTTGAGATAGAAGAGGGGAACATTTGTATCATCCTCGCTTTAATATGCATTTTCTTGAATCAGCGTCCTCTTGAAATAAGATGCCTATGTATGTGTTGATAATATGCGATAACGAGATATTGTCTTTTTCAAACAAGTAATCAAAACATTTGCTTGAATATTCATCAAGTTGTGTTTGCTTTAACCAGGGTGGCCTCTCAACAGTTTTACACTGTTTTAATAATCATATTAATTACCAAGGAGGTTATGATTTCCTGGCTAATACTAAATTGGGATAAAACATAATTACATATTAGTATATCAGTTTGTCCAGTAGTTCTACTGTAATGGGCGAATAATGCACGTAAGAAGACATTTCTAACCGCCGCGATAGCTCAGTTGGGAGAGCGTTAGGCTGAAGATCTAAAGGTCCCTGGTTCAATCCCGGGTCGTGGCAATATTTTTAACAATGTCAATTGGAATGGTATAAAACTTTGGTCAATCACTGTCCGTTATCATTGCAAAATGAATATGATGATAATCGCGAGGATGAGTAAAATGGATCAATAATCAAACAACATGACATTAATATGATACTTGGCGCTCTCTGGTTTTGATTTCCCCAACTTTGTGAGTACTCTTCAAGCATAGGTCTGTGGGCAAGATCGTTACCTTTCTAATACGTCTATTTTTTCTATCTCTAACCCAAGAGAGAGAAAAATAGGGCATAGCAAAAAGGTAACAATCTTCCCCACCAACCTTTGCTTACTGAGTAAGTAACTACATGTAGTACTTTCAAGTACTAGTACCTTTTGGCCAATGTCAAACAGCAGTAAAAATAAATTATTCATTTACTAAGAAATACTATTTACATATTCATTTTTCTTCATCGCGTGGTAGTAACAATAAGGGTGTTAATTCATGACCAAATATTGTTTTGTTTTCCACGTAGTCTTCTCGACACGTTTATTTTTATGTAAATCCGAGGTTAGGACTGGTGACAGGCGAGAAAATTCACGCGTTTGTCTGACATGAGATGATAAGTGTTGACCAGAAGTAACGTGTCTGTGAGACAGCGGAAGCCATGTCACCTATTTTAACACTTCGTTATTAGTTGTTTTTGCTAGTTTTTCTTTGTGTTTTCTTACAAAAATAATTATAATTAAACTTTGATATATGCCACCCAAGAAACTTGCATCCAATGTGGCTGTTCAATATACATGTGCAAGTATTAATAAACTCATATCACATCACATCATTACACACACTAATTTAGCTACATATATCCTATGTTGTAGCGGAGGGAAGAGAAACGTTACCACATAGGCACATACTTGCTAAGAAACGCTGTCGCTTATCAATTCATTTAGGCTGCACTACACAGATATTCCGCTAGGAGACTGTTGTTCAAACAAAATACCTGTCAACTGTCACTTGTCAAACTTGAAAGTACACAGAATGTTTATCCTGTAGACGATGTTAATCACTTCTAATGGGTTTATCCTAAGACGTTTAACTTTCTTTTGATGAAATATTCTAACGTTTGTCTGACAACTGTCACCTTTAATAGGCTTTGTCTACGTTATTTTCATTTCCCTTTCGTCTGTGCCAAATCCGTAAATTTTCGCACCATGGTGACGTAAGATTATCGGATTGAATCAGTGTGAAGAAGTCTTTTACAGTGTCGAGAGTAAGATCTAATGAACAGGAATAGTGAGAAATGTTGATGTCGCTAAAAATAGTAGGGGGTGGTGAATCGTTATTTTGTGTCAATTTTAATGCAGTATCATACGACCTCATTCGAGTCAATTAGACTTTAGCGAGTTGTGAAATGACACAGACTAGTCGCGAAAAACACCAACTCTATCTCACAAATGGAAGGTCATACATAGTTTGTCGTTTGTGCGTCATTTTCTCAATTCACAAGATTGTTCAGATACGAAGACATGATGTGTACATACGCTTGGAGACTTATTGTGGATCACGTTCATTGTCAAGGACAGTTGTAAGATGACTATTATAAATGAATTCGAACAAGTTGAATAAAGTCTTTTTATGCTGATTTCTACAATTGACTATTTATCAGCCTGCAAATGAGTCTGGTGGAGACTAGTCGTATGCTTTACTAAAGTCTACAAAACATGCGAACTGAGAATTCTTTTTAACATACACTAGTACATTAATTCCCTGGTGCATTTCTCTCATTTCTTCAGTGTTGAAAATGACGTAACTGTCACGTGATAGGGGATGGTGAGAAAATGGAGCAGATGTGAAGTCACCTCCGCGGAGGCAGTTTGCACGATTGGCGATAATGTGGACATAATAGGGCTGCCTTCACGGGCAATTTTGCATGAGAAAAAGCGGGCCGTGGGAACGCCGTAGTAGCAGTAGGCCGACAATGGCGCACCAACAGGTTTCCTGGCATCACAAAGGAATTTTCGCACTCAGGGGACGTGGGAATGGTGGGAAAGAAACGGTAGTCGCGGGAAGACAACGGAATTTCACAAAGCCTCGCGCAGGCCAGGATTGTGGAAGGCTGCCGTCATTATTCAGGCACGCGACCAAACGTCGTACCCCTTTATTAGAACTTGCGCGACGATGGAAAAATGAATGCCTAGGAAATGACATCAGGTACTCATTAGAATTCGCACAAACCTGCTGCATTACGTCATTCTTAGACAACTCCCCCAACACACATAAAGGGAAGCCAGAAAGTTTAGACTTTAGCAGGGAATTGGGAAATACCACCAAATTTTATCACCCTAGTAGATACCATCATTTCAAGACTGGTAGAAATCGATATGAACTCCTTCCAGTTGTAGGTTTGGCTCGTGGCAGGTGGCGGGAAGGCTGTAAAAAACAGGTTAGAATTTCAGACACGCGTGCCGGGCGGCCGAGCGCATGTCAAATATTTTCGTCACCAGAAAGACCACGGCTCCGCCGCCGAGTCAAAGCGGGTTGTTTGACCCGTGGCTCGCCGGACAGAAGAGAGTTCACCCGGAGTGTGGGAAAAGCAAACTTTCCTACAAGTCAGATCGGAAAGTCAAACGATCACCTTTCAATCAAACAGTGTGTAAACGCTATGCATACAAACGCGCTTGTGGACTTCGCCCGCGCTTAGCATGCTATCTTCGCGCCAAACGTTTCTGTCAACAACAGATTGTGCAAACGACAGAACGGCTGCGGAATGCGTCCCCCATTTACACGAGCGAGTCGTTTGCTCGACAAGTGTTTTTCTTTCTGCCGATAAAATTGTCACCCTGATACCAGAGGAAGCCCGTTCCCACGGCCTTGGCGTCAGTTGATGAAGCCCAGAGCTCTGGTGCGCGACTGGAAGTGATTTGCACACTGGCTTTTGTGATTGAACCTTTTTTGATTCCGCGCACTTACAACTACCTTAGAAATCGAACACCTTCATTTCCTCACCGATAAAAAACACACTGATACTTGAAATGACACTACCTTTCCAGATTTTGCAATGTATTGTAATGACTGTCTTATATTGTTCCCGCACTAGAGGTACTGTACATGTAAAGTAATGATACACCATGCGCCCTGGCACGCGACCTTATGGAAAACTCACATCCCCTCAGATGAGTTCCGCATGTACTGCAGTAGTACCACCGGAAACGCGCCGGGGCTGTTTCACGATAACCAGCCGAGTCTCTCCGGAAGCCGCCGGAGCGAGCTCCCATCATCCCGGGAAGGGCGAGGGAAACCCGATAGCTGGATTTGGTCGGCAGCCAGGTAAAGGCGGACCGCCGTGTAGGGCCGCCGGTAGACGCGTGTCCCACCTCCGCCCGCGCCAGCGTCTGTCGAACGCGTGCCGCAGACAGCTCCTGACACCCGGTAAGGGATCGGAGCCATGGATACGATCCCTATCACTGCCAAACCAGGTAACGGGAGAGTTTGGTACAGCACCATTACGGACGCTCGGTGTCGCGGTAGATCATCCTACATTCACCTCCAAGTTTGGTGAAAAAAAGGCAAAAAGAGAAACACAACTCACAGGCAAAAGAGAAATATATGGCAAAGTCATGGCCCTCACAGATAAGAATAAACACTTGTTGGATCGAGGTCCAGTGCCAGTACTGTCTCACACCAAGCTCACAGAATAACATAATATCGCTAAAAGTTCTGAGATGAAAACACAAACTGTCTTGCTTTCGGTCATTTCAATTAACATGAGCAGACCATCTCTGAAATGTAATAAACGAATATCAATTTTACTTGGGAACGTAGGTTTGTAGGAAATTGCTTTTCTCGCCTAATCCTTATCATAATCCTCAGAACACAAAACGTTTCGCTACGTGCGCGTTTTTTCCACCTTACATTTTATGAATGTGTTGTTGGGCGGTAAAATCGTGCTCCACCATTTCCCGCCAAAACTTAATCGTTTTTGCTCGGGGGCAAATTGGCGGAGATACGGTCGGTCTGTTTCGGCATTCTCCCCGTGGGAACACGGCCAGGGGCACTTATGGCGCTGCTTGACTCTTACCCCGGCGTGTCACCCACATTCCTCCAGCCACTGACTGAATTTACCCGAAAGGCATTCGAACAGAACACGGTTCTTTCGTCTCCCACCCAGCCATACATGTCAGTCGTCGGATTTTCGGGACGCGGCGAACGCACACACGATTGTTTTGTGACTTTCAGCACAGCCATATACCATTTAACATCTTATCAGCACCCCTTGTTTACATTTGCAACCCTTGTTTACTGTACGCGCCGGACAGGACTTGGGGGCGGGGTTTTCCCACACTCCAGCCAGCCGCAGACAAAAGGCCCGGCACGTGCTTAGCGGGATAATAAGCCTGCCACTTTGCGTCCGCATGCCAACAGATGTCAACTGTCAGAGGTGGCCATGCAAGAGTGATTGGCATTACAACACACTGGACCAATAGTGAGGCACTACGTCACACGTGCAGTGACTTCCACCAATGGGACGTCCCCAGTTTCCAAAATGGCGACGCACCCCTATCCTCCTATTGGCTGAGACCGCATGAATGTAGTGTGGGAACCGGTCGCCACAGAATTTCACACGAGCACAGAAGGATATAAATACAAAGCAGAAATCTCTGTTCCCACACTCGCCACACGACCGTCCATTGAGAAGTTGATCGCAGAACGCCGTTCGCAGTCACGAAGTTTCATTCCTACACATTCGCCGGACTTACTCGGAATAACTCCAGACCGTGCAACATGCCTGCCGAGAAGGTTGTGGACAAGGCCCGTGAGGCAAGAATGGAGA